ATAAATTTAATAAACATAAATTATTTGCAATGGCAGCCGGGAGTTGCTGCCACTTTTAGCCACCCCCAAAAAGTCGAGCATGAGCGCAATTTAATGGCGGCGCTTACCTGCCACACCCCCAAACATCCGGAATATCCTGTACATCCCGAACATCCTGCCCATCCTCCCCCTTTTCGCTAAAAGCCACACAAAGACGCCAGATGTTGCCCGTGAGTCTTGTCGGAACAGCGTTTAAGCGGCTTTTCTTTCAAAGTTTAATTAGTCTTCGTCGCTCGAAGAATTCCACGCATTTGCATATCCCTGAAAGTCGAGGGCGGAGAACAGGTCCCCGGGGAAGTCATTTAACCCGGGGAACATTGCAATTTGCGCTAAATGCCCGAAAGATCGTCTCCGCAGAAAACAATGAACTCCCTGAACTGAATTTGTTGAGCCATCACTGGAATCCTCGCGACCCCAAAAAACATTCCTCACTTCAGCGCGTGTGCTGCTTTATCTTTGGGCATGTTAAATGTCTGCCCTTTGTTTATATATCTCTCAACATGCCATCCGGGAAGTTAGTTTCGAAAATGCATACCAAATATAAACAAATCAGCATAAAACATACGCAGCCAGTGAAATTTCTTCTTTCCAGAAAGATACAAAAACGAGATAAATATACGGTGGTATAACTATGCGTACACATTTTTGGCTGCCTAGATTCCCATTTGTATCTTGTCTTCAAATGATATAGAACGTTTTAATGAAGAAATGAAGGTTTCTCAGAAAACACCATAGAAGTGAAATATAAAATAGTTTTTATATAGTTCGGGTTTTTGACGGCTTTGTTTTTTATGTCTCAAAATGAATAGTTTGCAATTGTTTGATTCACTTAAAAGCTTAAATATTTACATTTATTCAACGAAATTATAATTTTCGGACGTCAAAAACCATAAAAAACTAGCTTATATTGTCAAACTTTGAACAAATATAGTTGTAAAATGTAAACTGCTTCTTTACATAATCTTCTAATCTCCTAACATCTTTGTGTTCATAAAAAAAACCATTGAAATGTAAAATGCCTCTGGCCCGAAACTATAGGCTGTTTAGCTACATCGGCAATATTTAAATATTCCCCAGACACTCCCATAAAGTGTTGGACGCCCCACAAGATTTCCACAAATTCCGTTCGAAGACAAATACACAGCGGAATTCGCGCGCCAAAAATCAACAAACAAGTCGAAGGCGGGAAAAGTTCTTAAATCCCATTCCTATCCCCCCAAAACTTGAATGGTCAACGGCAGTAAAATCAGGAAATTTATTTGCCGGCAAACAATTTGACCCAGCTAGGAACTCAAATTCAAATTCAAACTAATTGCCGGCAACTGAAACAACAAAGCGACTAGAGCACGCCACAATGTTTCAAAAAGTTCTTTGTCAAGTGATATGTAAATTTGTTTATTATAACATATACCAAAAACCGAATACTGAAAACGAAAGCGAAACGAGAACGTTGGCAAGAATTGGGCTGAGAAATAATAGGAGCCAAACACTAAACACGAAATACTTGTACGGCAAAATGTTTGTTTATTGTACAATTTTGTGTCGCTTGATAAACAAGACTCGAAGACTTGTCAGCGTCCCCACGGAACCACTTTCGAATGCGCACACAGATACTCACACAGATACTTGGGCAAACTATGGCGCTTTTGCCCCATAACCCCCCTACATCACCGCCCCTTTGAGAGTGTATATGTGTGTGTGTATCTTTATTGTACGCTTTGAATTGTTTTTATGATTTTATGTCATCATAAGTTTCAGTCTGCGCTGTTTTTTTGTTCAGCTTCTCGTTTTCGTATGTTTTTGTGCTTATTTATACGCGGCGCTGTTTATTGAACAATTACGTTTATGATTATTAATATTTTTAATTGTTAATGTCATTGTTATAGACGCTGTCCCCGGGTCTGGCCCATAACCATTCCCATTTTCATTCCCATTCTCGTTCAAATAACATAACCATTCCCAGGCCCATTTGCACCGTTGACAGCGGCGCCTTGGGACGGCTTTCCTGGCCGTCTTGTCACCTCTCGGATTCCCTTGGCCAATCTGTGGGTGATATAGTGGAATAGCCCATTCGGATCCGCTCTATTTTAGCCCGCCAACGCCACCGCGTCTGGAATTTCCACCTCCGATTCCGAAACAGATTTCTGGCCCTAGACCGCTTTTATGCCGTTTTGTTTACTCGGCCGCCGCTTCAGTCAATTGCAGCCGCGATTTATGGTGCGCTAATTGATTTTTAATTGGAAAATGGTTTTCCTTGGTAATTGTGCAACGGACCGGTTCGACCGGCCACCTCAAATCGGAAAAAATTGAAAACTTAAGATAGCCGCTTAGCGCTTGTCAAATCTATCGAAGCACTTAAAGCTAATTTACCGACGAGTGCGCAATTGAAAGTCATCAAATCCTCTAAAACTTAGGCGGAAAATATAGCTGTTGTATCTTCGGATTGAAGAACAAGTTATGTTTATTCATTTAAAAAGAATACTATGAGATCTAACTAAGTATCTGACTCAGCTGTTTCAAAATGACTCACGCTAGTGTAGAGTAAATAAATAAAATGGGCAGAGGAATACAATAATCATTTGTTGATTTATGACTGGAGATTCAAGATTAATTCAAATTATAAATACATTGGATTTTATTTATCTAATTAAATGTTTTCTCAGCTTTGTTTGTGTTCTTAATTGAATTGCATCATTGTTTGTTTAGATAAACGTTAGATAAACATCAATCTGGCAATCAAATTAAATGTCCACTTTTAGTTTCCTGAAAATCTTTAATTTAAAATCTCTTTTTGATCCACATTTCTGGTAGGCTTACCCCTACTCCTTTAACCTTTCTGTTTTTTGAATACTCCGCTTATATTTTCAGAATATAAATTATATTCTTCCATAACTTGAATGAATTCCTCATTGTTCGAGAGAGATCATTGAACTCTGAGAGGCCCCCACAGAGCCAGACACACTCGAAAATCCGAAACCCGAATTGAAACCGTCGATTGTAGATTTTTCCCAAGCGGATTTAAGGCTTTCCGAATAGTTTTCCAGCATTGAGTGGAAATGCAGTGGCGTTGGAAAATCAATAACAATTTTGAGCGCTCTCCTTTCCTCTCCTTTCACTCCACAGCCACATCCACGTGTGTGAGTGCTCTCTTTGGAATTCCGGTTTGGCTGCGCCGACTCACCACTCACACTAACAGACAAAAAAGACTCAGGCGTTGCCATGCCGACGCTCTCTCCTTCCCTCTTCCTCCCTCTCTCTCACTCGCTGCCTTTCAGTGTGTGTGTGTCTACCTGTGCGAAAGGCAGACTCGGCGGCAGCCATGTTGGATTCCATCACTCCGTCCTGCGAGTGATCGGCCATCTCGCTCGCACCTGCACGCAGCCACGGCGGCCATTGCGGGGGTCGTAAATCTTGTTTAGGGGCGCGTGTGTCCTGGGAGTCGTGATTTATGGGAAGAATTGTAGCTGCTCATTGTAGCGTGTAAATAATTTAGATTAGTTTGGTATTCCTGGTCGCAGGATCGTGGGGGAAAAGCGGGGAGGCGGGTTGATTAGAATTGAAATTGCTTTCGCCCCTTTCCCTGCCACTATTTCCCGAGCAATGCTTTTCCCATTTTATGGCTGCTCTCCTCAAATTAAAAGTAAATTGCAGCGTTGGTGGAACAAGAAATTAATTAAAATCCTTTAATTTGAATTTAATTTTTCTCTAAAGGGTTTGTAGGAAATTTGAGGCCATTTTAAAACAATAGAGTAAAAACCGTTAGTAAACCCTTAGCTATTTTAATAATTACCAATTGATTTTGTAGGCGTCTTTTATGAAAACGGATTTAATAAAAAAGAAAACGAAAGAAATTTATAAAAAAAATAGGTTGATAGAAAACAAAATGCATAATACAGAATCCAGAATACAATTTCCTCTTTAAAATCTACCACTTAGGTTATTTTTTATTTTTACACTTATGACTCACCCAAACTGCTTATCGGTTCAGGTAAATTCAAATGTCACGGACTCATCCGTCCGTAAATATTTTGCCAACTGCTCAATCTCATAAAAAATGCAACGGAAACTAGAAAAATACCAGTGATTTACAACTGCAGCCCGTGGATGATTTACAAAATCTGCACCTTTCATAATATTACGTAAAAATGGTCCCTTTTTTTATTTTGTCTGCCGGTTGCCGTTGGAAAGTCGCAACTTGCAAACCATAAAAAATTGCCGTTGACAAGAAAACCTTTTAGCAGAAAAACTCGGCACAAAAGGCGGCAGCGGCACAAAAAACAAGAGACACGAAAGCCATAAAACGGCAAGCGGGTAAAAGTGAGGGGCTGCTGCTAGGCTGGCACTGGGACAGCAATTTGTAGATAGCGAATTTTTGATTTCCGTAACATAAACACGGAGCCTGTGCCCATTCCAGGCGCATCTTCGCACCGTCGCGCAAAAAATTCGCACAGGTAGCATGGAAAATTGCTTTTAAAAAACGAACAAAAAATAGAAGTAGAGAAAGGAATGCAGGGAAAATCGGGGAAAAGCGCTGGCTGGCCACCAGGGCGAGACCTGCCGCTGGGCGAGTCGGTGTCGGTTGCTTCACCCTTCCACGCACCGCGTGGAATCAGGTCCGTGGAATGGACCCCGGGGCGTCGGTGTCCTGGGGCGGCGGCTGCTGACGTCAGGGGTCTGGCCTCAGATCTCCAGCTCACCTCCAGCTCACCCTTTTTGGAAGCAGAAAAACTGTTTGTTTTTGGCTCGTAACTTGCAGCCAGACATTCGCAGTGCAGCAGTCCCCCAATCCGCAATCCCCAAGCACAAATCATGTGGCGACGCCTGACATGTGTTGCCGCTGTCCGAAATACCATTTTCGACTGTCTGACAGCGTCTTTGCAGCTCATTAGGCTTTGCCCAAAAACCAAATCATTACCAACATCTGACGCTACTTTCTCCTTTCTTTTCTTCCCGCCGCGCAGGCCCCAATGGTTGCCCCCGAAGACGCGGTCGCCAGACCTACACACGCTTCCAGACCCTCGAACTGGAGAAGGAGTTCCACTTCAACCACTACTTAACCCGGCGGAGGCGCATCGAGATCGCACATGCCCTCTGCCTGACCGAGCGACAGATTAAGATCTGGTTCCAGAACCGGCGCATGAAGCTGAAGAAGGAGTTGCGTGCCGTCAAGGAGATAAATGAACAGGTGAGTTTACCAGCTCCTCCCAGTGGCGCCACCAAATCCATACTAACTTGGTATATCTCTTTTTCTAACTCGTTTTAAAGGCGCGACGCGATCGCGAGGAGCAGGAGAAGATGAAGGCCCAGGAGACGATGAAATCCGCCCAGCAGAACAAGCAAGTGCAGCAGCAACAGCAGCAGCAGCAACAGCAACAGCAGCAGCAACAGCAGCACCAGCAGCAGCAGCAACAGCCGCAGGACCACCACTCGATCATCGCACACAATCCGGGCCACTTGCACCACTCGGTGGTGGGTCAGAACGATCTCAAGCTCGGCCTTGGCATGGGCGTGGGCGTTGGCGTGGGCGGCATTGGGCCGGGCATTGGAGGCGGACTCGGTGGCAATCTGGGCATGATGAGCGCCCTGGACAAGAGCAATCACGACCTGCTGAAGGCAGTCAGCAAGGTCAACTCCTAAGCTGACCCTGGCCCACCGCCGCCGCCGTCGCCGCCGCCCAGCCGAGCCAACGAGCCAATCTTCCACCAGCCGCACCACTAGCTCCACTAGCACCACCACCACCAACACCGCCGCAGGATCACCGCCAGGATCAGCTGATCCTGCGCTCTTTTTCATCTCCTCGTCTGTGTAACGCGCGAGATAGCAAGCTGAAAAGCAGAAGATAAACTCGATAACTAAAATACGTAAAGTTTTACATAGTAAATAGTTGCATAAGTCTACCAGCCTACATACACGCAAATGAGTGGGTTCGATGGCCCAGGGGCGATTCACCGGATGGGGGTTTGGATCTGAGGTTTCTTTCTGAGGTTTTCCCGCGAGCAATGGCCTATTTGATAGTGCAACGCATGCGATTACCTTCTAGATCTCCAGTGAGAGCATTTGTGTATCCGACATTTCTTCCATACTTTCCCTTTCACGCAGTCCAACCCCTAAAATTGGCAATTCAACCCCCAGTGCCAAGTGAAGAGTCCCTGGGCCAAAAGAGCTCCCCAGTAATATTAATGGATAACTTGAACTACTTAGAATAGCGGTAAATGCTTAAGGCAGGAGTTAGCAGGAGACGCGATCTATATAAATGAATATTGACGAAATGAGCGATTTTTGATAGTCAGAGAACTCCGTTGCCAGCCATCGGCCAATTTCCATGGGAATCGGTCTTTGGGGGAAGGCGACTAGATGAGGAGTTCGAGTGTAAAATTATTTGCGACTGCTGTAGGATAACCTAGTTCGATATTTAGAGCCACGTTCGACTATGTTAAACGGTATATGAATACATAAATATATGGATATGCTTACAGATTAAAGATACTTACCTATAGAGTTATAGAGCGTACGTTTTGTATCTACCTATTTATTGGAAAATTTATGTTTATGTTTTTCGCAAAAAAGAAACCCTCTTCCAATGTTTTGTTTAAGTGATGTGTTTACTGTGTGTTTGCTGTATTTTGTTGTATGCCAACGCTTGAATACAATGATTTCTTCAATGCCATATTAATCTTAATTCGAAAGCAAGTAAACAAGTAAGCAAAACCATTGCGCAAATATTTCCATAAATACCAGTTGTAAGAAACGAACGGTATGCAACATACCCAAAAGCATAATCACGATTTCAAATACGTAATAATAATAATGAAACATGAAACTAAATTGGAGTAAGAAGGAGCTGAGAAATTAAATGTCGTTTGCCAGTGACTAAAATTTTAAATTAACTACCATTAAGTGAGGAAACTAAAAGGCGTCGATTGAAGGCCTGCAGATCTACAAAACGAAAAAAAAAAACAAACAGAAAGGAAACTCTGAAATACGTATTAGCTTAAGGTTGCAACAACAGACAAACTGTCGAGGAAGGCCAAGAAGGGGAGATATGATATGAGGGGAGGACGGGCGACAGAACCCATATACGTAGATTTCAAACTTCCCGAAATTAAATTTACCTAGCATAGTCCCTCGCGGATTGCAAGTTGAATTAAAGTCAAAATCTATTTATTATACACAACCGAAGCGGAAGGCTTACACAGCGCGTATTTACATAAACAATTATTGACAACAAATATATATGAATATATATTACAAATATATACAACTATGAACTTATATGTGTATGTATAAATACCTAAATGTATGTGTATCTAGTATGGTTAACACTAAAAGCAGTCGAGTCAAAGTTAAAGTCACGTTTTGCCCAAAAACCAGACACCACCAAAAATCAGCATCCCCAGAAATCCCAGCGCACGTCTTTTTCTCTATGGGACTCCTAAGTCCCGGTCCCCTGTTTCGAGTGATATGGTGACAGCCTTTTGCCTTTTTTTGGAAACCGAGTGGTTTCTGTTTCCGTTTCTGTACCCGCTTCCGTTTCCGTTTCTGTTTTTGTTGCGTTTCAGTTTCAATTTTGGTTTAAGATTATTAATGTTTAGTCTCATTTGGACGGCCTAGCAAATTAGCGCGTAATTTGATATATTTTGTTTGAACCCTTATGCTAATACTTCTGTTAATTTTAGTTTAAGTTTAGTTGTGACGAATTGTGTATTATATAATTTTATGCGATTTTAAAATGAATGCGAAAAAATTAAAAAAAACTACCTTTGTTTCACTCCGACTGGGAAGCAACTGCAACGAGAACCCATCCATACGCCGACCTTTTCGATGAGGTCCAAAAACTTCAAATCAAACTAAATATTAGCTAATGCCTAACGAACATATATACGTAGAATCAAGTCGATACTATTTACTAACCAACCAAGTTTACTCACCCAGCCGAAAATATTCGGAGATTGCGATAGATCAAGAACCCGCATATACGTAACTGAATTATATTCGAACTTTAAACAGATCCTAGTATTAGATCGACGGGCTCCCAAATATTTGCCATCGTATTTGTACATAAAACTGCATGACAACTATTTATGTTAAGAAAATGGATACAAATCGAGAAATCATATTTCGTTTGCGTTCAAACCGATTTCAGCCAAGGGGATTAATAAAATATGAAACTATGAGCGAACCCAAAAAAAAAAAAAAAGAAAATGAAAATTAACGTTAGCATAAGCCAACAACTGCAGTGAAGAATAAATAAATAAATAAAATCAAAGGAAATTGTGTGAAAATGATTGGGTGCTCCACTATGGATTAAGTATTGGATTGCTTCATGAATGAAATGGAAGACATGTGACTTTAACTAAGGCCTTAAAAACGTATGGCTCCTATTTCGTTGTAAAGCGCATCTTGAGATATTTTTCAATATTCCACATTATAATTTATAGATCTACTCTATATAGAGGAAAGTTATTAATGAATTCTTCCTAATAATTCCCAATAATCATATATCACATATCAGAGCATGTGTTTGGTATCGAGTCCATTCAATAGCTTAATATATTCTCTTTCGAGGCATAAATTCCCACTTGCTAATGCCGCTGCCGCAAATATTAATTAACGAATGCCATTTTGGGCAAATTGATTTCATGCCTCGTCGAAAGGACGATTGGGGTTACAGTTCGCAATAGAGGGATGTGCTGACATTGTCGCCTGAGATGTTTTGGCCCTGCAATTGGCAGCGTGGCCACGTATCCGGAAATGTTGCAAAACGCCTTTAATTAAATTTAATTAATGCGCCAACAACTCAACGGATTATGATAATAAGCGCACATTTATGGCACGCCCACATGTGCGGCCAGGACGAAGGACTAAGAAGGCCTTGTAGGATGGGGACTGGGCTCGAATCCCAGTCGTAGGTGGAGGCCAGACGATGTACTCATCCTGTTTTTGGAGCTGCGACAGCGTAATGGCAGCGTCAACGAGCTGAGTCCTCGGCAGCGGAAACGGAAGCCCAGGCACCCAAATGGCTCATGTATGCAATAAAAGAAACTTTCGAAAACGTCAAAATGGCGTTCCAAAGATTGTTCCATTGATGGGGAAAGTGGGTGGGGTGTTGGATGCTGAATGCTGGGTTCGTTCTGGGTTTCTTATTGGGTTCACAATTCTGAGCACGTAGACGGGCCCGGGCATAAGTTCACATTTGGATGCTGTTATTGGAAAAGTTTTTCTGCGTCGCTCAAACTGCCCCAAAAGGCGATCATCGACGCGATAAGGCGCGCTTGATATATATATATATATATTTTATTTCATGTGCTCGGCGAAAACCATTTAATACAAACTGTCTCCTGATTAATAAATATTCTACAATTAATATATACAGAAGGGGAGTTACTTGCCGACGAGAAAACGACCCTTGTAGTCTCCATATCAAAGTGGAATTGTTTAGAATAATTCTAAAACTTTAGAATGCCATTTTTAAATGACTAATGATTTAACTTTAAATGTAAAAATAGGACAAATTGGTATTCTCTTTGATACATTTTTTATTTATATTGTAATTATGTTCCGTATTTGGCCGTTCCCACAGATCCATGATTTAGTAGCACTGGAACACCCATTCCTGGCATATGTTTTATTCATGTTCTGCCACTGAGTATCCACTACTGAGCGACTCGGCAAATCCGCGGATGGCGTTAGTCGGCCGTGTAATTCTAATGCCAAATCGCACATAAACTCTGGCACTTTATGGGATTCAAATTCGTTCGCGGGCTGAGCCCGGCCGAAAAAGAATTACAATATTTTGACAGGGCAAACAAAAAGCCGCAAACGCTGATCCTACTTTAAATTCCGTCCCAGCCCCGCGACTCAAATTGTGGATGCTGCGGCATATGCGAGGCCTAATTACAGCGCATCGCAGATGTTGCCATGCGCGTCCTGGATTTCTGTATTTCAGGATTTCTGGCTTTCAGACCAACAAAATGGCGGCCAATTACCGAGTGCGCTGCGTTTAATTGAAACATAATTTTGCATAAATAAAACAAGGCATAAAACACCCTGTTTGATGGCGTTCTCACCCCGAGAATCCATTACCGAGGGTGTTTTTCTGTTTAACAAGTGCAAAAAGGGGCCCAACCCAAAACACAATCCCTATGCCAATACGTATCAGATGCGTTGGTATCTCGAACCATCCCCACTCCACAGATGTCACTTCTCCCAGCTCACAGCTCATTGCGAATGCACAGGTTGATTTTATCCCCTGACACTTTTTCATGCCTCCGCCGGAAAAGATTGGCCATGTCTCCGGGTAGGCCTTTATATGTATGGCCAATGCTGTTGTTGTTGTCCTCTCTCCACCTTTATCTTTTGTTGCAAAATTGCACATCCCGCCGCGCTGCTACATCATAATTTATTAACACTGCGAAATGAGTTTTTGCCTTTTTTGTTTTGCCCAACACTCGCCGGGCGCTGTTTAAAGCCCCTGGCGCTCATTTATCACAATTTTCGCTTTTCAATTTCAATTTAAAGTGCGACAGGGGAAATTGAAAAGTGGAGTTTTCAATTCGATTAATTGAAAATGGTGAGCAAGGAAAATGGCCGCTCTTAAAAAAATGGGATTTAGGTATGGCTTTACACAAAATTTTGTAGTTCCGAAAGAGCTGATTCTAAGATAAAGACCTAGGAAGGGTATAAAATATATTCCCTGTAACTAATCAGTTAAAATTATGGAGGTTATTCGAATATGACCCCTTCGAATAGATTTTTATGCCCATCATTTTTAGGAAATCGTACTTAAAAGTTTTACTATTTGTGGGGTTAAAGAAAAATATTAAAACTAGCCACAATCTATGGCACAATTTGAAGCAGAGTTTCGTAGGGACAATAAAAAGTTCAGATATTACCCAATAAAAACAATATTATTTATTTGAAATGTCCATTTACATTTCAAAACATGTTCAAGCCTGTTAAAAATAGAAGCCAAATAAAACTACAGAGGCATTACAATCCAAAAGTCAGAAAATGTGAATCATCGCCATTTCCCGGCCATTGTGCTGCCCTTATTGGGCTCATAAGACCCCATTGACATTAACACTAAATTTCAACTAAGCGATCTTCAATATATTATAATAATCCGCCAAGAAACCAGCCGACAAATGTGCACCGCATTCAAATGGAACACAATCTTTTTAATACGGGCACCCCAGAGCCGAGAGAAAACACCCCCAATCCCATAGACATCACCCCAAAACCCAAGCTTCCACCCCGAGGCTGGCACTTTCACAACGGCTACTTAGTGCTCCTTCGAAATCCGGTAAGAGGGGGGAAGGGGCCGAGCGGGAAACTAGAACTGGAACTGAAACTGAAACACGTTGCCAACATTGCAAATTTTTGTTGATTTAATAAAATTGCACCCACGAGACTAATTTATATGGAATGTTGGTAGCCGAGGAGAGAGGCCGAATTGGTTTCAGGTACAACGCAGCCATCCTTGTTGGCTGCACAGTGGGATTAATAAAAGGATTTTTAGGGATTATCAGATACACTCTTCGAATTTTTGAAGATCTATTTGTTCCTAAAGTTATTGAGTCCCAATAGGAAGTTCTAATTTAAGTTTTCGAACAAAGTTTATAAAGAAATATTTTATAATAATTAAAAAGGTTTTATATCTTTGAAATGTTACATTAAATTAAATGTCGAACGATTGTTAGTTCTTAAAAGACCTTCAAAAGAACTTTTCATGTGAATGATATTTAACGATTTTCTTCTTTAATAATTTCAAAACTATTTTTAGTTTACCTTGGAAACATTCTCCATAAATTGCCTTCTAAAAAAATATGTTTTTTGTCCTTGACAACCCGTCTAACTGCCTGATTGGTAGTGGGTATAGTTCGTGATGTCCTTGATGGCATTTTAAAATAACCCATATAATAACCCATCGAGCAGCATGTGACCACCATACCGGAACC